ACATGGACGCCGCGTAGCCGTCGCAGTTGCAGTCGTCGTCTTCGCCGCCGTCCCCACTGGCCCACACGTAAATGTTGCCCAATCCTCGCCGACCCTTTCATCGGAGAATAAATAAATGGATGAATGTGAAAGAAAACCCCCAAAACAAATATTTTTTTGTTTTTAAGTGGAAGCAGCTGAGTTGATTCACGAGACACATTTTGAGGCGTGCATGGGGCTGCATATATGGCAAACTCAGTTACTATATGCCCAGCAAAAAATGCACCTGTAAATAAATGTATATAGTCGTAATAACAAGCGAACCTATTTGACTGAGTTGCCCCATAAATTCCTTATTTTCAAATGGTGAACCAGAGAGAAAACAAAGAATGATATTGGAATAATGTACAGTGCTTGAAATTCCTTTCCCAGTGAAGTTGTTTATGGAAATAATATGATTTTTAAAATTTGACGCTTGATCGAAATATAGCTCTTCAGATTTAGACATAATTTGATCCTGGATTCACGTAATATTCATTTATTTCTATTACCGTAAATTTCATTAAATTTCTATTACAGTAAATTTCATTACATTTCTATTACCGTATAATTTAAATAAAGGTATATTACAGTATAATTTCAGTAAATTTCTTTTACAGTAAGTACACATCTAAACTTCGAAAACTTTTCGAAATATATTCCATCGATGCGCACCCCCTTTTTTTTCCTGTCAATCTTGATATTTAAAAAAAAAGTGCGCGTGATTCTCGACTAAATACGGTACTATACCATCTTACAAAATCCGTACCTCATTGACACCACGAACAATGGCTCTCATTGTGGCGTTTCTTGGACCATCCACAGTTTTCCCATCATCTGTTGGCCCCCAAGATGCTGAATAGATGTCAATGAGATGCGGTTCGTGGCCCATGGAATTGGCCTCGATCAGGTCAGTCATGTAAGGCTGGTCCAACATTCGGATCCCTTTGCATACGATAAAAAAAAAAAACAAATCATGAAATATTCTTCATGGCCGCACGTTTCATGAAAAACATTATCGATGCAACTGCGAGATTAGAAAGAGAGCCCAAAAAAAGATGATTTCGACCTGCTCATCTCGAAAGCTCAGGATGAATTTTCATAATCCCAGAATGATATTAAAAATATGTGGATATTATTTTCGCGAAGCTTATTTCAGGGCATTTGTATTGAATAATTTACGGTAGATTATCTAAATATAAAATAAGAAGTCTTTGAGATATGTTCAGCTTAATAAGAGGAACACTTTCAAGAATTTTTTTTATTCTACACATTATTTCCGTCGAAATGTGAACGTTATCATCGGATAAATAATACAGTTTTACTATTTGTTTCAAACAGCGTTCCAATCTTATTTTCAATCATCCTCATTGTGAGCTTTCTGAAAATACATCCCTAATCCAAGAGACCAAATGATAGAAGATGTTTCTCTTTAGGATAATTGAAAAACGGAATTGCTCATCAGTCATCAGGAATTTTAATTTCTTTTTAAGCAGGAGGAACAGAAAATGCGCTGTTTCTCCTGTTTTTGTTACGCTGAGTAAGCATTTATTTTTAAAATCTAGCAAGTCCATCAGATACGTTCGTGTTTACATGAAACTAGGCAATAATTTTAGCATTTGCGATTGATCACATGTTCTTTCAGAAAATCGCATGAAGGGCAATGAATTCTTCAGCTCAAGCGAATAACCTTTTTTTCGAGTTTCGTGAGGAACCTTCCTCCTCAAAAAAATTCGGAATATATTTTTATATTTTGCAGAAAAGCTGACGTTTCGAATGACAGAACAAATTTATTCGAATATCCGCGAATTTTCTTATGCTTTTATTGAGCCATCGGTTGGACTAGATTTAAATGTGGACTTCCATCCGGAATTCGTTCTTTTTTTCATTGATAATATATTGAATTAGGTAAATTACTTCTTGAACTCGAGATTCTGAAGCATCGCATCATGACAACAGCATCAGTGCAGGAAAAAAAACTCTTCAAGCAGAAGAAAAACGACCCGGTCACTCAAGCATTCATGGTATTCGTATGAATCTGAGGATTGCACTGAGTGTTTTACTCATCAATCTTTCTCTGACTCTATACAGGAGAAGATTTCGCATGTCAAGTTTTGGACAGGTAAATCTGCTGGAAGGGTATGCATGGAACATATTTTTCTCTTTCTCTTCTGAAAATATTTCCATTATTTTCTCCACTGTTCTTGTCTGACATACGCGTGACACGCTCCTGAAAAAGTATATTCCACAAGGAAAAAATGAGGCACTGCACATCCAAGCAGCTCAATACATGATTGCTTCAGCAGCTCTCAGAAGCAACCCATGAGATTTCTTGACAGAAATCTCATATTTTTGAATTCGCGAATCTCATCAAAATCGAACTTTTCATCCCATATCATAATAAACGAAGCAAGGTAGGGAATTTCAATTAAAAAAAAGAACCCTTTAAAGAGAGTACGTTTTGTGAAATAATAACAATCCAATCATTATCAGCTTGGTATACAGCACAGCAACTCAGTACCTTGATGAACATGAAGATTTGAAAATGGTTCTATAACTTATTGATGGGAGTGGATAAGACACTTGAATTTCCTGATTTGAACTTGAAGAGAAAAGCAAGTTTTAGTGAGAATAAGTATTTGGACAGCACATTTTCTTGCAAGTCATTAATTTGGTTAATAAATTAAATAGCCACTTTCAAGAAAGGGGGTGTAGCTCAGTGGTAGAGCGCTCGCTTCGCATGTGAGAGGCCCCGGGTTCAATCCCCGGCACCTCCACATTTTTAAAAACCTATTCTGTACAGAGATACCTTAGCAAGGTTCTTTT